TTTCATTTTCGGTTAAATTCTTCCAAACAAAATTCGGAGTTTCTTTAATAACCCAATATATATAAAAGAATATTGATCCAATGACATTGAGTATGAATGCCAATGAACCAACTAAAAAGTTTATCACAGGCTTTAACGGATTCCAACGTATACTGATCTTAGGCCTGTTATCATTTGTACTACTGATTTCACGAGTGTTAACTACATTATTATCAGTTTCAGGTATAATTGATTCAGGAAAAGCGGTGTTGCCTTCTTCATTAGGGTAATCGTAAGACGGATACGGCGGTTCAACGGGTGGAGCAAATGTCCCCGCCCAAAAATCAGAATCCTGCATAGCTCGAAGAAAAGCTTCTTCTCTTGAAAAGTCTAAATTACGTTCTCTTAAATAAGCCGTATATTTGGGTGAACTAATGTAAGGAATTTCTCCGTTATCATTATCATTGATCCCATTTTTTCGCGAATTGCTTTTACTTCTCGTGCTGCGAGGTGAACTATAAGTACTATTTTGTGCATTAGTACTTGGAGAACCTTGCGATTCGGCAGGTCTGCGTCTGGCAGGCATAGGAATATAAAGTATAAATATTCAACTATATATATTTTTTTTTATTCTCTTTTTCTAGAACTGAAGTCTAAAGCGGTGTATTGTATTTGACTTTGTTAATAATAAAAAAAAACTCCTTTTAAATAAAAAATATAGACAAAGGGTTCCAATTTACTATTTACTAGCCCCAACGACCCAGCCCCTCCTTAAGGTGGATTACGTGCTTGTTGCTTTTGGATTGCGAACGAACTGCGAGCTGTGAGCGTGTGCAACGAAGCTTTAGAAGTTCTATTAACCGCTCTAGGAAGGAATGCTAATCAATTGTTAATCAACAAAAACAAACGTATATCCAGTCAACCAGTCGTTTTAACTTAAAAACTGCATTGAAATCGACCACAATTATAGTTACTTTGTTGAAGCATTAGAATGTTTGTATTTAAACCATATATCCCTATGTTTGTAATATCAAAGTGCAATCAGGAATGTAATTTATTCTGTACACATTTTTCTAGCATTTGCACTACGATTCACAAAGGCTTCTCACATATATTAAATTGGAAACTGCATAAAACTTCTATTATCGTTATCGTTATTTATGGCAGCAATTAACACCCTTGTACATGTTTCACATGAAGTTCGAATTAATCACATGACAAAAATTGTTCATTTATTAGTTAAATAAGTTGATATATACGTATAAAAGTTATATGTAAAATATATATATGTACGTACGAAAAAAAAATCATTTAAATGATTTAATTAAAAAAATGCATATCGATATGTACTGAAACTTTTTTTAAAAATTTTAAATATATGTATATATCGTTAATACAGTATATCTTTTTTATTAAAGTTAGTTTTAATAAAACCTTATTCTTATTATATTTTTTAAAAAAAAAATTAATTTGCTTATTAATTTTTTTTATATACACAATATATATATTATATTGTATACTGTATATAATTGGCTAAATAATTTTAAAAATTAATTTTATTAAACAAAAAAATTTTTATACTTTTTTAATTATGATAAAATTGCAACAAAATTTTTTAATTTTAATAATAATTTGATTATTAAAATTTGTTAAATTACTTAAAATTAAAAATACAAAAATAAGAAATTTGAAAAAATAGTGCTAAATCGCATATAATTTTAATAGTTTTTACTAATAAATTTAGAGTTAAAGGTTTTATATTGAAATAAAGAGTTTAAAATGAAGATGGAGTGAAGTTCAAATAATATAAAATGCACCTATGGTGCTTAGCACCATATATAATTGTTGTTTTTAATAAAATTTAGGGTATGGGTATTAGGATTTTTTTTTTTTTTTATATATAATATAGTATAGAGCTAATATAAGGTCCCGATCTCCGTTCTCGTGAGGTTTTTGGGGTCCTGAACATTTTTACTTAGAGTACCCGATCCGGTTTACTTAGTACATTTTTGAGAAATAGAGACCTATGGTGTTGAACACCATAGGTGCAGAATGGTAAAGTTTAGAAATATTAAACATTTTTATTTAGAAAACCAAATATAATTCCTTAACTAGTTTTTGTTAAATTTTACTAGTGAATTGAATAAATTTGGTTTTTTTTTAAAATATTAATGTTAAAAAAAATTATTACAAATTTAGAGTTGAAACAGCTATAAACCAAATAAAAAGATATACAGTATATAAAGGTTTAAACTTAACGTAGTTAGCAGTTAGTATAAAATTTTAAATTTTTACTTTAATATTACCAACTTTAAATTAGTAGATTTTTAAAATATAGCAATACTAATAATAATTAATAAATAGCAAACTTCAATAGTTATTGTAAAAGTTTTATATTTTTATAAAATAATAAATTAATTAATAAATTATTTATTATAGTAACTTTTGTCAAATTTTAACTTATAATAAAGATTATAAAACTTTGCATCAAATTCTAATAGTAAGGCTAAATAGACGGCTTTTTTTTTACAGCTATTTTCATATATAAAATTTTATAAAATTTATATAAATTTTTTTTTAAACCCCATCCGGTTATTACAGCTGTTCTCATAAATTCTGGGACAACTGATAAATTCGGCATTAGAAGTTCTCAAATTTTGACCCGGCCGGGTTATGAAAACCAATTACAGCTGTTTTCATAAATTTGGCAAAAATTGACCGACCGAATATCTGCCGGTTCGATAAGTTTTTGCACAGTGTGTGATTACAGTAATAGGATGATGGTTCAGGTTTCTGATAATAATAACACTTTTATGATCGTGAATTTTCTCTCGAACATTGATACCTTTCACATATATATTTTAAAATGCCTTATATTTCTGATTAACAATTA